GTGAGGTCAAATGGACTTAAGCTTTTCTCCTCTTGTCCCTCTTTTACCTTGTTCCCGCCAGCTGGTAGCTGTGGGGTCTTAGAATAAGAAAAACTTAAATCTGCAAGTGAAAACAACAGAAGTATGCAGAATACAAAATAAATCTCAATTATTGGCCACAAATAAAGGTGCTATACTGCCTGAATTAGGTGGGACATTGAACACCGCTATTGATAACATGTCCTCACTCAGTAAAGATTTGTTCTCCCCCCCAAAATCTTGGTAAGGCTATTCAGCAGGAGTATCGACTAATACCTTTTGTTGCTTTTCTGTTTCCTTAAATGTTTTTTCACTTCACCTTCATCCTCTGTCTGTTTGAGACCTCTGAGGGGAGTCCGCTCTGCGTGTACAGTAGACCATTATCTATGTACGATGGCCATCTCGCTGCTGCTCTCTCAGCCCTGTGCTCCTGGGAGGAAAAACAAAAGGATGAAGGTCTCAGAAAGGGGGTTGGATGATTGGACATTTGGAATTCAGTGATAACATGAATGAACTGGTCCCTTGCTAATGTTTTTCTTTGATACAAAATAAAATGTAGCCATGTGCAAGACTTTAATTGTGGAAGGATGAGCACATTTGTATCCATTTAATTCCAAACGCACTGGGACTTCATTGCTGTTATTAAGTGTTGATGGTTTTGTCTTGTACTGGCTCCTATGGGCAACGTCAGCAGAAAGCATCGTTAGACATAACAAATTAAACCTTCAGGACAAAGTTGACTAATCTGAATTTCATTAATTTATTCTTGGCCTCGTTGCCAAATGGTTATCATGTTTGCTGTCTTAAATAATAAAGAATAAATTGGTGAAATTGATCAACTTTGTCCTGAAGATGGAACACCTATTATCTGTGTGCTTGTCAACATGATACAAAGATAATAAATGACTACAAAAAGGTTACTACACAATACCCTACATCCTAACAAGGATCCCTTTTTATCTTTGTATTTAAAGTTGAAACTTGTATGACTTTAGTTTAGCACAACAAACCAAATTCTGGGAAGGCAAGTCCTTTAAAAGATCAAACAAGTGAAATCTGTTTCTCTAGTGACACGAGGATAGAAGGTGTTGCACATTATCCCAGTTTTTTATCAAAAGTCTGTTCTCTCACTTCTCACTGGATCTCATCAATTGGCCGCTTTTTAGAAATAAACATTTGAAAGCAGAACAAAGTGCGTTTTTGAAAATGTTTCCTCTTTGGTTGACCCATGGCCAAACGCAAAACTCAGGAGCACAGTTTTTTATTGACCTAACAGTTCGAACATTCAGGAGATTCTCCTCAGCGTGTCCTGTATGTGTCCATCTCTCAGTGGATTCCCCACTAAACTGGCCCATTCTCTCACACACTGTGATCATTAGAGAGGCGTCTCTGGAGATGTACACACTTGGGTGAAAACCCAGGGGATGGACTCTTCTGGGACTGCCACAGTGTAGCGCAACATATACACACACACACACACACACACAAACACACAAATCAACAGTTTTATAATATAATATTATACTTATAGGAGCATATTGCTCACATGTAGCTCAACATTTCTGACGTTTTCTAAATGCCACACACAAGCACACATATCACACATACACACACATGCACAGCTGCTACGGAGTTTTGCTCAGTTAGTTTTGTTATTACAGACCAGCTGTCTGCCCAATTTCCTAGATTCAGGAACATCTGTGTGTGCCCCCTTTTCTCTCTAACTCACCCCCCACCCCTCTGTCTCTGTCTCTCTCTCAGTCGCCCACACACTCGGTGTATGTGTCATTATTAAGAGCTTATCAATGTGACAGGTAACAGAAATCCAACTTCAGGGGGGAAAAAAAACCTCAGAGCTGAGGCAAATTGGCACCACAAGAGCAACCGTCAGCAATCGTGTGTGTGTGTGTGTGTGTGTGTGTGTGTGTGTGTGTGTGTGTGTGTGTGTGTGTGAATATTCAAGTGTTTGTTTGCCACCTTTACGCTATTGCTCCCATTTAGTGTGTGTGTGTCTTCTTGGATTCCTCTCTCACTGTGAAAGTATGTCTTTTGGTATTTTACAGTATGTATATATTTTCATTTTCTGTGTGTGTGTGTGTCTGTTTGTGTGTGTGTACGGTAGCTTTCTAGGCTATTAGGCTGCTGACTGAGGTATATAGTTCAGTGCTATTGGTGGGCCAAAGATAAGCTTGGGGATTGCTGTGCTGCTAGGTCCTTTGCAGGAGCCATGATAATGCATTTCTGTCAGCCTCAGTGTGTGTGTGTGTGTGTGTGTGTGTGTGTGTGTGTGTGTGTGTGTGTGTGTGTGTGTGTGTGTGTGTGTGTGTGTGTGTGTGTGTGTGTGTGTGTGTGTGTGTGTGTGTGAGAGAGAGAGAGAGAGAGAGCAAGAGAGTTTGTGTGTGTGTGTGTGTGTGTGTGTGTGTGAAGAGAGAGAGCAAGAGAGTTCATGTGTATATCCAACCTTCTATACGTGTGTGGGCTGGTTTGTGTGTAACTGTCTTGCTGTGCCAGTAATTGTAGGTTGTAGCGTGACAGAACTTTGTTGTTTTAGTTTGAGGTCTGTATCTGTGCTCTATGTGTATCTGTGAGCTTGTGTTTTTATTCTATTGAGGGGTCTAAATAAATAGTGAAAAAATAAATCAACGAGCTGATTACAAATTAAAAAAATTGTCTTCAATTTAAGTAATTAAGTAAATTAAAATACCAAATATGATGTTATGCAGATTCACTTCATCTCTTATCATTACAAACAGAATCTCTCTCTGGGTATTTTCATCATCGTTCTGACCAAATAAACAATTTAAACAACAACTGAAACATGATTTAACGAAGATGTAAAAGGTCAGAGAAGCAGGTTTGTTACTGGTGACTCAACACCTGGACGTTTTTATTAAGAACTCATAATTCATATCCAGTCATTTGCTTTGAATTAGTCATTATCTTTATTATTTTATAAAAATGCACAGGTGGACTTGCTAATTTGAACGTTGTTAATGTACATACGCCTTTGTGACACTTTCCTGATCTACAGTATGGCTGTATCAAGTGCGTGACAATACTTAATCTACTACCGTTATCCAGACTGGGTATGTTCTCATTCTCTCTTTTCTTTGTTGCTGATACATTTCTTTGTGCAATATGTCGGTCTGTTTTTGGTCATGTGTATGTTCAGTCTGAAAGAAAAATAACGGCCAATGTAAGATCAAGAAGTAGACTGTTTGTTCGGCATTGATTGTTGTCTGATCCAAGAGTACGTCGATGGCTGCAATTCTAAGACCTTATTGAATTTTCTAAATATAAAAAGAATATACTTCCTTTCACATAGGAAGGACCATGTATACCACCTTCATGAAAAGCCACTTCAGCATGTTGAATACCTTACCTCTATCAAATGGTTGCAATAGAAAATGAGAGAGCCGTCGAGGGGAGTTGAAGTACAATTCACATTATGGAGAGCTGAGAATATGGTTTTTGGCTAATGATTTCCATTACTGTAATTTGATCCAGCTGTACTGCAAGTATTGCCAAGATGCCTTTGAGTAAAGCAATAAACCACCATGGTACCCTGTGCCTCATTGTCTGAGATATAATATGTAATGAATTGACAAATGGACAAAAACTCTCACCAGAACACCAATCTGTGTGTGTGTGTGTGTGTGTGTGTGTGTGTGTGTGTGTGTGTGTGTGTGTGTGTGTGTGTACGTGTGTGTGTGTGTGTACGTGTGTGTGTGTGTGTGGTGTGGACGTGTGTGTGTGTGTGTACGTGTGTGTGTGTGTACGTGTGTGTGTACGTGTGTACGTGTGTACGTGTGTACGTACACAGTCTACTGGGCAGACTTTATCCATCCGTGCTCTTATTTTCGTACCTCTTACCTGTTAGTGATTCTCAGTAGCCTTTTTCCCTTCCGCCCAGTCTATTTGTAACTACAATGAGCTGGCCTGCTTCATCAATACCTGCCTCACTCTGTCTAGACATTCAGACATTGCTGGGGGTTCACTCTTTTTTTAATCACAGTCCAACTGTATGTTTTCTAAAACTCCCTGAAGTGCCATCACCACAAGTTTATATGAGCTCTGTGCAGCCTTTGGACATGCTCAATTTCTATCTCTGTACTTCATTTCCTCTCTCTCTCCTTGTCTCTCCCAGCTCTTAGCCTCACTGTGTTTGTTTAGGTGTTAGCTGTGTGCGGTGGCAGTGAAATAACAGCGTTAATTTGCTTTTGCTGAGGTGAAAAAAACAATCCGTCTCCCAACCGCCCCTCTGCAAAAGAAAGAAAAAAAAAATACAGAGCTTCCACTTCTTCTAAGTTCTGCCATTCTTCGCTGAGGGAACCCGATTAGTTGATGTTTACGGGCTCAGAAGTGGCGCTTTAGGCTCCGTCGTGATGACTTTAGCTGGTTAGCGAGCGACAGTAGTGCAAAGAAACAATAAGCTCTGCCTGAACAGGAAGTCAGAGCAAAACAGACGATGGTGAGCGAATGGGAGTTTATCATTTTGACAGAACTGTAAGAGGTTTTCTCAGAGGGAAAAATGTGTGTGCCCTACAGCATTTTATAATGTACATACAAGAAAGTGTGCATGCACGTATTTGTGTGTCTTCCTGTGGGTGTGTGTTTGTATGCCTCTCCCTATATGATTGTACGTTTCTTTTATATATATTGTGTTTCATATCTACTTCAGTGGGCGCCATTAATTAAATAAAATGGAGATTTGTGGCTCTTGCCTGGCTGGTAATGTGTATATTACATAGATCTGCTGCTCCCTGTGTATTGTTCTCTGGAAGCTGAAACAAAAGCATCAAACAGACGCAGGTGTCACAACTCGCTACAGAGGAAGACAAGATGTGCATAATTGGCAGGAACCCACCATTTATAATTGGTTGTAAAAATACTTTTTCCTCGCAGTGTGTGTTTCTGACATCTCACAGTATGTGTACGTTTGTGTAAACTGTGCTCTCTCTCTCTCTCTCTTTTTACTGCAGCTCTGTCAGTATTGCGGTCAAGTGAAGAGCAAGCCCCTGTCCCACAGAATAAGTTCATGGGTGACATCGAGGAGCTGGCAGCCAGCTATGAACGCAAACTCATAGAGGTGAGTGCCATCTCTTTTTATTCATTACTGTTAGTTAGTTATGGTACTCATTGAAGAAGTACCACAGTAACAACAAAATATAAAGTGGAGGTGCTATCTACAGTACTACAGGAACGGTTCAACAGTCTGGGATGTACTACTTCACTTTCTTGCTCAGAATTTGATGAGATTAATGATACCACTCTCATGTCTGAAGGCTAAATATGATGTTAGCTTAGCTTGGCCTAAAGACGCTTGGTAGCTCAGTCGGTAGAGCTGGCGACCCATATACAGAGTTGCTGCAGCGGCCTGGGTTTGAATCCGACCTGCAGCCCTTTGCTGCGTGTCATCCCCACTCTCTCTACCCACCTTTCCTGTCTATCTTCGGCTGTCCCCATCTAATAATAAAGGCATGAAAAGGCCAAAGAAATAACTTTAAAAAAACCAAATTCTGACTTTTACATTTCCGTCTGTCTCCATACGGATTAAACTAACTAAATGCAACATTTTAACACCTTGGACAGAGCCAGTTTCCACTATTTATGCTAAGCTATGCTTATTGTCTGCTGGCTCTAGCTTTTTTTTTTTTACCGTATACACATGAAAGTGGTATCAATCTTCTCATCTATCCATCTTTGCAACAAAGCAAGTAAATGTACTTCCCAAAATGCCAGACATCCCTTTATATAATTACAGTTTATTAAAGGTCCAGTGTGTAGGATTTAGGTTTAGTGGTGAGGTTGCAACCAACTGGTTGCCCCTCCACTAACCCTTCCCTTCCAAGTGTGTAGGAGAAACTGCATCTACTGTAGAAACATGGAGAATAAAAACAGCTCAATATAAGGTAACAAAACACAACAATTCTTATTTTCAGGTGACATACACTAATGAAAGTATACTTGTAAATATTATATTCCATTCCTGCCATATTCAGCCAATAGATCCTCCTTATCCTCTTAATCTTTCAGTCTGGACCTTTAATAAACCATGTCTCTGTATCACTTAAGCGTTTATTTAAAATTCCAACCACATAAACCCTGTTGTTTCTTGTTGATTCTTCAGTCTGAGGTTTTTACTGTTTGTTTTACTGAGGAGGATAAACATGATTTTTACATTCTGCAATTCACTCTTTGTATCATCTGCCAGTGCCAGAACCTCAAACAGCATTCGCTCCGTTTGCTCTAGATGGGTAGTGCAGTTCACTACATGCCTGTCCAAGTCCCAGCCGCTGCCACAAAATCTAAAAAGTAGTGTTGGGGCCAATAATCTTGTTTGTTAACAGTAATTTGATTTATATGTGCTAATGGTTTATTGATGTAACAGAGCCACTTGGAGCTTTGCATTGAGAAATACATGAATTTGGTACATTGGCTAGCAAAGTTAAAGAAAGAAGAAAGTTTTTTTGGGCTAGTGAGAGCTGCGGAGGGGGAATGGAAAATTCTCACCAAGCTACTCTGTCTAAATAAAGCAGAGGATTGTACTTTCTGCAGCTGCATTGATTTAAAACTCTTAACAGCGCCAAGAGCTATTCCCTGAGCCGGTTCTCCTCAAAAATATCGATTGCAGCACATGGTGAAGATCTCTAACTGGACACTGGGCATAAAGTTACCGGCTGCATGACAGATGATGGGAGTGTCCAGTTTCCTGTCAGATTGACTCCCAGGAAAAGTGACATCGGCAGAGGAAAATAAAGACAACATCTGTGTATTTTTATGGGTAGTGAGGTGTGGGGGCACGTCTACATGAATAATTCATCTGCAGTTTTATATTTATTTAATAAGAAATAATTCCGCCTGGGTTTTGCCAAACTATGTTTTCACTTATTTATGCACATGTATGTGTGGTGTATTTTTAATGGTGTTTACTTATTTATTTGTCCATTTGCTTTGCTGTCGATTGGGCTTTCACATCCAGCCTGGAGGACACCATCGCACCACGGGCTCTCCTCTGGTCCCAGACCAGCCAGGCTGTGATGGCTTTGTTTAAATAAGCATATTATACAGAACACCAGTTTTTCCTTCTTCCTGATTTGTAACAAATTGTCTAGTGTAAATATAGTAGACATGAGAGGGGCTGTAGTGCCAGCTCTTCGGCTAATGATATCAGCAAGTGTCTTAATCACAGAGGGAACCAGAAAGATATGCAGCAAACAGGAGACACAGGATACTGTTTGCCTTAATATTCAGAGGGGCAGTGGCACAGAGTGGTGTACTATTTGTATGAAATGGGGGAGACAGAAGAGTGTAGAAAAGATTAATGTGTGTTATTGTGTGTATGCGTGCGTTCATTCAAGGTCAGCAGCACTACTGGATTCATAAATTGTGAGATTTACAGGAGTAGCTGTCAACACTCCTTATTCAGCTGTCTCGCTGCCGCAACTGAGACAAAAACCTGACCCACCAAGTTATTGATTTTTGAAAATGTCACATCGAGCCTTGTTGGATACATACAGGCCCGCCAGACACAAATAAATACTGGACAGGGCTCAGCCTTCATTAACCTGGGAAACACGCCCGTGTTGTGACCTAGTTCAGTTTTAATTTAATGATGCTAATGCATTGTATTGACTTTGACTTTGTTTATATTTGAGCCAAATCTCAAGGCACTCTATGCTCTTTTCCTCCTCTTCCTCTTCCTCTTCTGTTCATGTGTGCTGCTGGGCTGTCCATTGCACAGAGCAATAAAAAGTTACATGATGAATTAGATAAATTAAAGTAATTTAAAAGTAGGGTTCACAATAGGGCAACATTTAACTGTCAATGGCCAGTGACTTTGGTTTGGGGGTAAGGGGTTTTTAAACAGGACATCACCCAAGTGATGTCTTGTAAAAAGCCACTGCACAGCACAGCACAGCGCTGCAGCTGAGTTGGTTTATGCTTCGTAAGACATTGTGCTGCCCAATAATGTTTCCTTGAAACCACTGATTGCAGCATTTAAGGTATCAAATGTGACACTTTAGATGTGGAGGCATAAATATAAAAGCACTTATTGTACTCATTCAAAATCTAGGTGAAAAAATGTGAAAGGTGAAAAGTTTGTCATCAATCATCAATAGCTAACATATTTTTCAATGCCACACCTGCACAAAAAAGAAAGCATGAAATTCACAAATATCCCACACAGGGTACAATGCAACCCTTAAAACTTGGACACACTACACGTGTCTGCAGCGTGTGTGCATCATTGAATGCTTGCTTTTTATTTTGCCGCCCTTGTTAACAGGTTAGAGCCGCCACACTGCCTGCTTGAGCCGCACGTCTCATGCTTGTCTCAGGCGCAGCTGCAGTGACGCTTCATTAGAGAGTAGAGGTCTCATCTATATTTTCCATGAGCAGTTCCTAGAAACAATAGACAGTGAAAGTAGTCACTGGATGTATAATTACATTATACCAGCAACATATACACCTTTCCAGGTCTGTATCTGTTGAATATAAAAATCTGATCTTGATCTGTGGTATCTGTTTGAGATTAAAAGGTCTCTAGTGTTTCTGTGCACAGAAGGAAAACTCAGTGTTGAAAGATTTGCAGCAGCAGTGCAATTGGAGAAACGTTCTGTGTGGACACCACTGGTGCGTGAGCTGCAGCAGTTAAGCGAAGCAGCTATCACGCACTGGTTATGTGTGCTGTGTGACCATGCCGTAAATGTGCCGCCAAGCAAATGTAAACCCGGTGCTCTGGTGCTTTTTGCACATATTTGAATTAGGTAATGTATTTACATTTGGTGCAAAACTGCCCCCTTTCTATGCAAATGAGCCTCATTGCAAAAAAAAGTCCAATTCACAAATACCAACGCAGAGTGATATTATTTGCATCTTCTGAGAGTTGGTGGTAGCTGAAATGCATTCATAAGGAGTGTCATGTCAGACTTTCCAGGGATCATGGCAGCAGAGTGTAACCAGGTGAAGCAATAGTATCGCATTAGCATCACAGTACATCGTATATGCACAGATGGCAGAAACAGTACAATATTCACCATGAGGGAATTAAACTGTAAATCTGCTGTGAGAAACACAGGCGACGCTTAACCACTGCAGAGAACACAGCTCTGCATGTGCAGAGAGGCTTGAGGGAGAGCGCACCCCAAATAACAATCACTCTGGGAAAACACTCAGTGAGTCAAAGATTAACGAGAGACATCCTGCAGATAAAAACGAATGAAAGAACAGGGGGAGTTAATAAATAATTAAAATAGTTATAATTACAATAAGTTCTCTTTCAAATCAAACATTTTAAGATATGAGTGGAAATTATTGTTCTTGCAACTGCATTTATAACATTTTTTGACTCAAATGTTGATTAACTTTGGTGCTTCAATACACTTAAGAACAAATATTACTGGACCCACTACAGAAAATTGCTGATGAACATTTGATAGCCGCAAAACAAGGGAAAACTGCACTCAGCTGCAAAACTTTATGGGCGTGTGTGGGCTGCAATATCATTAGTGCATCTTTTTGTGAATCTGACCTGAGACAGTGCAATCAGTGGCTGCAATCCATTTCTTTGTGAATTCGCTCCCCAGTCTTGTTTTTAAATGCTTTTCTCCTGTTATACATGCATTAACTAATTATTTTGGTCACTTGTGGCCAGCAGAAAACATCACACAACATATAATTGACATATAAAGTTGTTATGGAAAAACAGTTGGAGCAACATTATCGTTCTTCTGCAGTTTAGTTTCTGTCTAGCGGAAGAATCTATGTCGAATACTAAATGTTGTTCACCAGCTCTAGTCCCTTATTCTTTGCTGGAAACAGCTGCCTGCAGATGCTGGAAACAAGATTGATGAGAGTGGAGTTTTTTGGCTGGAAAACCAAAAGAATGAGCTCAAAAAAGACAAAAACACAATAAAACTGTTCCTTGCTGTATTTCTATTTGCAAATCAGTGTGGTTTGCATCATTTCAAATTAAACATATTTAAACCTTGGGTCACTCACAGCTGTCCGAGCTGTTCTTATGTCATAAATATCTAAATTGTTATAAGCTAACTGTCAGATGTTACAGATTCAGAAACGTAACCA